CAACAGACCCGTATTCACGCGCACCAAATTGAACACCTCGAACCTTCCCCTCCCGCCGTTGCCGCCCCTACAGCAGCAGCCGCCGCCGCCATCGAAAGCTTCCCCAAAATCTTTTCCCCTCGATTCTCTCCTCCAGCACCTTCTCCACATTTCTTCGCCTGTCAAGTCTTCCCTGGCTTCTCCAGACGTCGTGCCGGCCCGTTTCAGGAGAGACGATGAGATCCCGATTGCGATGCCTAGAATCGACGACAAAGTCACCGGCGATGATGGGCTTCTCGATTTCCTTCCTCTGAATTGTAAGTTGTTGCTGGACTCGATCTTGGAACAGCCCGTTTCTAATTTGGGGTCCCTTTTCGATTCTATGAAATTTCAGCTGCTTGAGGAGGTCGATTTGTTTGGGTTGTTGAAAGGTTTGGATGTTTGTGGCGGTGCTGAGAGGGCCATTTTGTTGTTCGAGTGGGTCGTGCTTAATTTGGATGTCTCGAAAAGTGATAAATTGGATCAGATCATCGAGTTGATGGTCTGGATTCTAGGTAGGGAGTCTCAGCACTCGGTCGCCTCCAAACTGTTTGATAAAATTCCTTATAAGGATTTCTCACTCGACATTCGGGCGTGGACAACCATTCTGCACTCGTACTCGCGTAGCGGGAAGTATGAGAAGGCAATAGCCTTGTTCGAGTTCGTAAAAGGTCGAGACTTGCGCCCAACTTTAGTTACCTACAATGTGATGCTCGACGTTTATGGAAAAATGGGTTGTTCGTGGGATAAAATCTTGCACCTTCTGGACGAAATGAGTAATGTCGGGCTCGAATTCGACGAGTTCACTTGTAGCACGGTTATATCCGCATGTGGGAGAGAAGGTTTATTGAAAGAAGCCAAGACTTTCTTCGATGGGCTCAAGTTAAACGGTTACGTGCCAGGCACAGTAACTTATAACTCGTTGCTTCAGGTTTACGGCAAGGCGGGTATTTATAACGAGGCCTTGAGCGTATTAAAAGAAATGGAGGAAAGTAACTGCCCACCAGACTCGATCACTTACAACGAGCTCGTGGCTGCGTACGTGCGTGCCGGTTTCCACGAAAAAGGAGCAGCTTTAATCGATACAATGACTCAAAAGGGCATAAAACCGAACGTCGTGACTTACACAACAGTCATCGACGCCTATGGCAAAGCTCGCCGAGAAGACAAAGCTCTGGCCATGTTCAGGCAGATGAAGGAATTAGGCTGTGTCCCGAACGTCTGCACGTATAACTCCATTCTTGGTATGCTCGGGAGAAAGTCCCGTGTGGAGGAAATGATGGAGATGATCTCGGACATGAAATCGAACGGCTGTACCCCAAATCGAGTCACTTGGAACACGATGCTTACAATGTGCGGGAACAAAGGCATGCAGAAGCACGTGAACCGTATTTTTCACGAGATGAAGAATTCCGGATTTCAACCTGATCGAGACACGTTCAACACGTTGATTCGAACATACGGGCGATGTGGGAGCCAAATAAACGCTACCAAAATGCTTGAAGAAATGATAAGAGCTGGATTTTCTCCTAGCCTCACGACTTATAACGCGCTTTTGAATGTCTTGGTCCATAGAGGTGACTGGCGGGCTGCCGAGTCAGTTGTTTCGGACATGAGGAGCAAAGGTTTCAAGCCGAACGAGGCTACACACTCGCTCATGCTCCATAGCTACTCGAGAGGCGGGAATATCAGGGGAATCGAGAAAGTCGCCATTGAAATTTACGAAGGCCGGATTTTCGCGAGCTGGGTGGTTTTGCGAGCTCTGATTCTAGCAAACTACAAGTGCAGGTCATTAGTGGGTATGGAGAAGGCCTTTAAGGAGTTTTTGAAAAACGGGTACAAGCCCGATTTAGTTCTGTTGAACTCTATGATCTCGATTTTCGCACGGAACAAAATTTACGAACGCGTGCACGAGATACTGCATCTTATCCAAGAGAATGGGTTGGAGCCCGATTTGGTGACGTACAACAGCTTGATGGATGTGTATGCAAGGTCAGGCGACTGTTGGAAGGCCCAAGAAGTTCTTAATGGGCTTCTGGAGAATAATGTGAAGCCCGATATCGTCTCGTACAACACAGTCATAAATGGGTTCTGTAGGCAAGGGCTGATGCAGGAGGCTATGGGGATTTTAACGGATATGACGGGTCGAGGGATAAGGCCTTGCGTAGTTACTTACAATACTTTTGTTGCGGGATTTTCGAGGAGAGGGTTTTTCAAGGAGGTGGATGAGTTTATAAGCTATATGATAGAGCACGATTGCAGGCCGAATGAGCGGACGTATAATACGGTTGTGGATGGGTATTGCAAGGCGAAAAGGTATAAAGAGGCTATGGATTTCGTGTCGAGGATTCGAGAGAAGGATGTGTGGTACGGAGAAGAAGATTTGCAGAGGCTGTTGGGTCGGGTCAGGGAAAATATGGAATCTTGATGTTCTTGAAATAATGGGAGTCTCCATTTTATGACTT